GTGTGTGTGTGTGTGTGTGTATATGTGTGTGTGTGCATGCGCAGGGTGGATGGGGATGCTGTATGCTGGAGCTGAGAGCTGCAAGGTGACTGAGGGAATGGAGAGGGATACAGAGCTCTGACGACAGTGACGATGCAGTGCCCTCTTCCTGAGCACCTTCTCCTCTTTACATCCCTCCATCTCTCTGCCTTCCCTCTCCCTCTTTCTCTTTCTAGACTGAGGTGGACCGCCTGCCCTGCTTGCAGCGCCTCTTTCTCAGCTGCAACAACATCACCAGGTAAGAGCTTGTACCGCTTAACTCCCTCCTCCCCACAGGGCAGGGACAGGGATGGTGGCCGGACGGTGCCACGTCCCCTCCCATGACTCTTGGCGGCTTCTGGCCAACAGGCAGAACGCACACACATACAGACACACACACACGCACGCACAGCCACATACACACACACACATAGGTTTGCTGTAGTGGGCAGTTTCTTTAACCTAGAAAAAAACAACCTGGATGTGTTCTTTATTGTTAGTGTATTTAAATGCTGTTCATGTAATGTAATACTGCTAATGTAAAAAAATGGGTGTGAGAATTCCTTAAAGTTATTCAGCCAACAGAGCAGCAGGCTGAGAAAAGGTATTAATTAATGACAGATTAGAAGGTTGAGTGAATTCATGGAAAGCATAGTCAGGTAAGGGCGTGTGGGATGAATGAGAGGTGTGTTTTGTTTCCTCGTGCAAACATCAACCTGCTTTACACACTTTTTCCAATATCTGTATTGTGTTTTTTCCTTAGCTTTTATGCCTCTGAGCCCAGCAATATAAATGTTTCCTTGTTAAAGCAGCAGAGCCTCATCATTGACTAGAGAAGCTCGTATGTGGCATTCAGGGTGAGACAGTGTTCACTGGCCTCCTTGACCATAGTCACCTTGTGCTGTGATAGATCTGACCCGACGTTTCAACCCAGCCCTGCTGTTCTAGTGTCTGTATGATTCAGTGTCTGATACACTGTCTCAGTAGCAATCATGATAAAGTAACAGGCAACAAATAATCACTTAGTACTCTGAGACTTGCCAGGACTTTACAGAGTGACATCTAGTTCCAAATATAACATGTATTTACATCATTTCCATAATTTGTACATGTCTAATTCTTCTCTGCTTCAGTGTTTTTTGATGAAGATATTTTAATTGAAACTGCTCAGGTGACTGTCTGCCTGTAGTGACAGTGTAGAAACCTGGTGGTGTGTGTACCTTTTGAAACAGTTTGAGGCTGATAGGAGAGCAGTTGTGCTCTGTTGCTAGGTAGAGACACAGAGTACACTCGCCTTCTTGGTGCAGTCAGTTTACCCAGTAGAGGATCTTGGAGCAGCAATCTCACATAAATGTAGGCAAACAATAATTTAACTGACTATAGTATCACATTTCAGATTATGAATTATGTTTGACACCTTATGAAATAGGAGCAAAGCAGAGCTGACAATCAGAACTCGGTAAAGAAAATCTGCAAGGGTTTTAGTGCTACTATAGATGAAGTTGGAAGCTACACAGTTTTCAACCACACCCTACACAGCTCACAAATATTTTTTAAACTGGACGTTTGGTAGCAACCAGAGACAGCTGCAGGTACACTCATCCTGGCTGTGACTAGTATTGAGCTGTTTTGTTATTGCAACAATACCCAGGAGGTTGCTGGCAGTTATGATTATGAATACCATTATGCAGAATATGTTAGATGGAGCATCCTCTTGATTATAGCCAGCATATATGCCAGCATATATATATTTTTTCTTTTCTAAGTTATTACATTTGGGGAGATTGAGAACAAATAAGAACTGCCCAGGGTACTGCATGTGTTAGGCTTTTAAGAGTGTTAGATTACCAGATATACATTATATCCACAAAACAGTATGTTCCATTGCACATGAGAGGTCTGACTGTCTCTCTGAGATAAGAGAAAAATTTACTCTGATTAGTGGAACATTTTCAAACTGCTGCCATTTCCCTGCTATCCCAAATAAAATGTGAATTATGAAATGTTGCTCTGCATTAGTATGAGCTTCCCATCATTCACAGTTGGTTGTGCTTGCTTTAATAGTTCATCAGAGGTTACTATCTGACCCTTTTTTAGCATTCAAAGAGACCGTTGGCTAGGATCAGGCACAGTAGGTCCATAAGTCATTCCAGGCGAATGATTCATGAAGGTTATTATCACAAATTAGCACTGATCAAATCTCCACTGCCTCACATAGCATGACTCTGCTGTTTCATGTCTCCTTTTGCCACAGGGCGATATCAACAGCCTTCATTGCCCCCTGAGTAATGTCAGGCTGCCAGAGTGCCTGCTAAATTACCAGCTTACCCTGGCTTGTTTTAGCTTGGCTCCATTCTGTCAATACAAGCCAAGGCAAAAGGTTTCAGAATTAGTGACTTCCCAGTATTAGATCATCATGCCTCTTTATTATTGTAAAGCAATCGGTGTAGCAACTCTTTATATTTAAAACATTTGTGTTTTAATGTGTTTCTTTAATTCTTGAGTTAATTCTGAATATTCCTTTATTTTCAGTTTTGATCAGCTAGCCTGCCTTGGAGAGTCGCGCTCCCTTTCTGAGCTCACCCTGGATGGGAATCCTGTAGCCCTGGAGACATGGTACAAGCAGGCCGTCCTGCGCTGTGTGCTTCATCTGAGACAGCTGGACATGAAGCGCATCACAGTAAGACTCAACTGCTTATCAATGTCTATGTGTGAATATAAGAGATAAAACGGGAACCAGCCAAATACTGCTAAACATAGCGATGCTTCTTTCAGATATTTTGCTTTATATGAGACATTAATGAGTAAATAACATTAACACAATGGGAGAACATCACGTCACCAATTTTTATCACGCTTATATCTCCTTAACCGAAATAACAACGATTCCTGCACAAAGATCGAAGGGGGCAAAGAATCTAAGGAAACTGTATCCAACTATAACTCACCATCACCTTCATTATAAAACCTTGTCAACTCGCACTGTGGTCTGTGTTGACATGTTTGATCAGACATTCATGTTCAGCTAATGGTCTGAATCTTTATTTCACTCTCTGTACTTATAGTTTGTTCCTTAAGGCAGTGTACATGTTAATTCTTGAGAGTAACACAAACCTTATTATGATTCACCACCGTTAAAAACAAACTTATTATGAACCCACGTACAGTAATCTCCCATTCACTGTCAGTCAAGCATCACCAAGCTAATGTACACCTTTACCATGCTGTACTCTACTTTTTGTTCTCCGACTTCGGCACAGCATTTATCACGCTCACTGTTGTTTATTCGAGTTAAAAATGGACCAGTGACTAAACTATGACAATAAGCTGCGAGTGTAGAATGTACATCTGTATACAGTCTAACAAAGCAATGATTATTCTCATAAAACATGTTGTCAATGTATTTAAACAGTGTGCCAGCAATGTGCTACAGTGAAATATCTGCACGCTTTTAAAAGCTGTCAAGCAGGGAGCACCCAGGTCTGAGCTTGTACTTTAAAGGAATCTGTAAGTGCCACACACCTTGCCCTCAAAACATAGTGCTGATACAGTGGGAAAAAAGTGTAACTCCAATTTCAGCCATTTTCATGTTTTTACTTGAATTGTACGGTACACGTGGTCCAAACCAGATTTCAGGTTTAGCAAGTTTCATGATCTTCAGGGTCCGTTAAACCCATCCAACCACAGCTGTCAATCCTGGAAACAAGGCTGTTGTTTTATTTTCAGAGAGTTTACATCTGGGAGATGCCAAGCATTGTCTTGACAGACGCAGAAATGTCAGCTTAGCATTGAAGTTTCCATTTTTTTTCAAACTGTATCATGATATTGCTGGGGGGAAACTTTGTATTAGCCATTGAAGATCTAGATTTTTTTCCCCTCCAACTGATCTGGATTAACATGCCCTCTGTGCACTGTGCTGTCACTCTTCTGTCAGAATGTATGCCTGACTAATCAGAGATAGGCTGTTATTTATGAATGAAATGGGCGTCAATACTACAAATGAGAAAATTCAAACATACACTTGACTAAAGCTGAAAGACATTCATAGTTGACTTAGTTTAATGCATCTTATGGACAGATAAAAAATATGCTATGCATTTAATTGTATTATTTACATGCAAATTCATTTATTGTGGCACATAGAGCTCTCTTTATTAAGGGCAACTATTAATGTTTTAGGATAGGTTTTGGATTTAAAGCTCAACTTGATCAGTTGGAAAAAAACATACATATGCACTCTAATGTTTTATCACAAAATTACTATTTAAATCAAGCCGTACAGATGTAGCGCTTTTTCTCCACTTCCTGACATCATTGCCTTGACTCCAGTGAGGCTAGCATTTTGCCTCTAATGATCAGACAGAAGCATCGTCTGTGCTAGCTCTTGTCACAGACAGCTGAATATCCCCCTGCTCTTAGCTGGCACACTCAGATTGTGTTGGCAGCATTGCATTCTGGGAGTTTTGGCTTTCCCCAACAGCTGGGCTCAGTTTATCTGAGACTGAAAATCAGACAGATAATCCTGTGATGCAGCCGGCTGGTGTGATAATTTTTCCCCAGCCTCCATAGTAGTCCATTTCTGGTCTAAAGAACCGTCTCCCTGACAGCGTCTTTTGTGGTTCCCCTCTCTCTTGAATAATTCAGAACTCATGAATGGAGCGACACTCTGATTGCACAAGCTATCTTTTTCAGGACGAGGATCGGCGCATGGCAGGTGTACAGGCTCGAAAAGAGGAGGAGAAGAAGAGGGAGAGTCACAAGCAGACCATTCATAAGGTACCACTCTGATCTGAGTTGCTCTTGTCTTTGTGTGCCTGGATTTAGCGTTTATAGCAAATACAAATAGCGGCCTACATTTCAGATCGTACATTAACAAGTGTTCACTGAATGTTCCAGTGTCTTTGTCTCAAACTGGATGTTTAGATGGTTAGTTGTTTTAGGTAGAAAGATGATAATTCGTTGCAGAAGTCCAAACTACTAGCTAAAACTGATAATATCGAGGCTTTAGCCTTTGCTGTGAGATCTGACAGGGTTTTACCTATCTGCTAAATTTTACATACAGTTTAAATCCAAAGCACATTACCTCTGTAGCTTCCTAACAGTTTTTACATTAATCTGCATTTGGTTTTGTTATTTTATATGCAGCCTCTCTTTTAAAACATATTCAATGGGAGAGCTCTAAAGTCTTTAGGGAATGTTTCACATTTTTGCAACTTTCCTCCTAGATTTTACCTTCTTTTTATGTGTCTTATGCGTCTTGGGATTGATGAGGCTGTGTTTTAGTAGGTCAGTAAATACACCTTTTGGATGCTTCATGGGCTGGAATTTGTAACATGTGTCAGTATCAAGTCTACATGACACAACAGCCCTTTTGGGGAGGTGGGGGGACACTGTCCACAGGGGTACTGTATTCGTAAAAGGGACAGTAAATTTCACTCTGCTTCTTTAAATGATCTAAGATGTTCTGCCTTGCACATGCATCTGTTTTGCAGCAAATGTGATGGTGTGTGTGCGCACCAAAGCTCCTGCTGGGTCTTTTATCAGGAGATTAATTCTGTGCAGAACTCATTGTCTCTCAGTAACCTAACTCTTGCTAATCCATGGTGTTGAGAAAATGTTATATTGAATGCTGCAGCCGAGGGTTCATGAGGGCGAAGGACTCACGATGAATTGATACTGACTCACCCCTTCACCGAGGAGTGGCACATTCCATAGCCGAGCATATCGAAACTGCAGCCTGGCCAAGAAAGAACAATTGAAATACGACAGAGAAACATGAGTCTTCTTACTTGCAGGGAGGGATGTCATGTTTTTTCTGCTGCAAGAAACAACTGCAATTAAATCAGAATTCTAAATTATGGTAACAGGAGCAAATAAATTGGGCCAACACATGCCTACACAATTTCACTCAGTAAAATCAGTAAGTAGTGATCAAATCAGAATTTACAGAGAGGTTCTGTCTGTTTAGTCTGTGCTCTCTGTGTCCTGCTCAGGAGAAATGTCACTTGACACCTTCTCTGTCTGTGTGTGTGTTCTGTTCATCAAGGAGAAGCGGCGTCTGGCAATCCGTAATGCAGCACAGCAGTGGGAAGGCGTCAGGGCCTGCCTGGAGCTGCCACCAACGAATGGCGCCAAAGAAGACGTTAGTCCAGAGAACAGTCCTGCTCACAGCCCCGCCCAGACCAATGGCCTTGCACAGGAGCCTTCTCCAGATGAACCGAGGTAGTCACAAAATTTACAGGAAGTTAAGATCAATTTTTGAAGCAAAACAATCACTGGTTGGTATGACACCAGTGATATGTGTGACCTTGTGTTCCTGGTCCAGAGTGAATTGGGGCTTCAAAAGTGTATCTGGTGTGATTTAGATTTGTATATATTTTCTACTGGCCTTTGTAGTAGCTTGTTTTCAGGGATGGGATATATGTCTGGTTGGTCGGTCTACCATTCAGTTGCAGACTCAAAGTATCTTAACAACATGGATAAACTGGATGAATTGCCATGGAATGTATTTTGTAGTTTATAGTTTATTTTTGCAGGAACGGCACACAGTTACAGAAATAATTGGAACCCGAGTTGGCTAACAGCTATTTCACATCTGTTGTCCCAGGGCAGGTAGAGAAAAAAACAGCCAGAGTACAAAAATTACACAACATAGAACAGCACAAAATGTGAGCTGATTAATAGAATCAATATGATAAATACAGTGAACACAAGGAAATAATTGGTAGTGACACTTTTGTGCTGACTTCAGCCAAAGCTTTAGGCTGGTTTAAACATTGCAAAGCATCCTGAGTCTCCAATGTTTGTGGGTATAAAATTCCACTTTCCCGCTGCTTTAAGAGAGAAAGCAGATTGACCAAAGCTGCACGAACCAGTTGCCTTGAGTAGATGCTGCTACCAGCACTACCACTGCCAGAATAGGCCATACATCCTCTGACAGGAGACGGTGTGAGATCATGAATACATTTACACATCAGGCACGCATCAGTAAAGAATGAAAAGTTGAGAAAGTTGCTTGTTTTCAGGATGTTGTAGTGATGATGATCCTTTAGCATTTGATCTAGTCCTTTAAGGATTACACAGGAGCACACTGGGTTTAGTGTAGTCACACCTGCCTGTGACCAGACTGTAATGCAGTAAGACAGATTGGAATAATCTCAATGTGTACAAAAAGCTTTGCAGGAGACAGTTTTAACTGGAGCCTAATGCTCTTAAAATTATTCAGATTAAACTTACTATCGCTGATCACCTGATTGACTTGAAAGGCTTGTGTTAGTTGTAAGGACAGATAGTAAAAGTATGTCACAAGTAAGGATTAACTCTACTATTGTTCCTCACTGTTGAATACATGCAAACTCTTGCTTCTGGTGAAGGTCAAGCATGAATCAGCTCACCAATCTGTCAGTTTGTCTACTGCATGTTTTTTTAGATCTTACATGGAGAAAAAAAATCACACTATCATCTACATACATTTGGATGCTAAATTTTTTTAAAGACAAACATGCCCCCTCAGGATTAACTGTAATGACTTTGGTAATCCCCTTGCTTTCTATCACCGACATCAAGACAAAATGTAATGTGTCTTATACTTTGTTTTACTTCAAAGTACCTTCAAAATTGATGACATTTCCTTCAGCCTTGAGTAATTTGCAAAGTTCTTTAATTATGGTAGTGCTTTCTGAAGGGATTTACAACAACCAGTGAGACACAAACTGACAAAGTGGAGGGAGGAAGATAATACTAAAACTGACAACCATGACAAGACATCAAAATAATGCAGCCTGCTGGTTTAATTGACAGCTGATGGAGAGAAAATGTGGGTATGCATGTGGGAGAAAGAGAGGAAGAAGCAAGTGGGACAGTGAGACGATTGTGTGCATTTCTTTGTAAAAAAAACAAACAAAAAAAAGGTAATGTGTGTGATGCATTAACTTCTTGTCCATCCTGTAATATGTGTATGTTTGAAATTAGAAAGTGGAGTGCCTATATGATCTACTATTATTTGTGTGATTCTGGCTATTTCAAAATGGTCTGGCTTTATTGGATTGTTTTTTTTTTCTTCATCTAAGAAGGTTGTGACAAGGTTTGTTTTGTTGCTGAGGATTTTTGTTTATTTATTTGTCAGACGGATAAGCCCAGGTTCAGGACCGGAGCGACCATCAGGGGGAACAGAGATCCGGCTCCGTACCAACAGTCGTCCAAACAGCCCACGAGATCCCAAGTAAGACAAAAAACCTCTAATGATCTATTGTCTGTTACATCTGAGGCTCTCACTGTACCTGATAGAATCTCACAATGTCACAATGTGCATGTTCCACCTACATCTGCTCAAAAGACCTTTCATCCACGCTGTTGTCTGGCTGCTCCTGTCTTTGATATTTGTATGCAGTGTTTCTCGCAGCTGCTTTGCTCTTTTTTTCTTCACTATGGTTGACAGAATGGCCTAGATAGAAAATGTAGCGAGATCATCCTGGTAACAGATTCAGTCCCTGCAACAGCTGGTGTGTCAAACCGATCTTGGAAGATTCTTAAGCAATGCAGTGACCACTGCACTTACATCAGGGGCTTGAGCTCTGTGAGCTCTTTGCTAAAACAGGTATATACATGTCTAAGATGTCTGAAGACAATTTTGCCCTTCCAATGTTTATAACATTTTGTTGAAAGGGCTCTGAATCAATGGTCTGTGCTCCGTCTAATGTGAACACAGAGCTCTGATATTCTCTCCTACACAGATTGTGATCCAGGTCTGGACGAGTTATGAGGGGGAGGGCTAACATGAAAGTGGGGGCTGTGTTGAGGGCTATTATTACATGTTTCAAAGACGGCCTCTCCTTCCTGCACCAGGATATGAAAATGTCCCTGAAGCAAAATCCCTCAATGGCAATGGCTTTCCTTTACAGTGTCCATTATAGCTTCATTCACATGGTTTACCAGGTTAGAGTGACGGAGGGGAGTCACGCGATTCAGTCTGCCACACTTATGATTTTGGAGTTGTATTACTTTGGCTAGTATTGCATGACAACACATCAAGGTAGAGTATAAACCCAGCCATCACCACTAACTTGAAAGAGAAGCAAATTATCTGACTAAAAGGTCAAAGGGTAAAATCTTTAAAATGCCTGGAAATATAAACAGTAGGTGGGAAATTTAAAAGTTGTTTTGTTCAAAGTGTGTGGGTTTACAGAAGGGCTACAATGCCCACACAGTGTAGTCCAGATTACCTGAGATAGCTGCTGAAGTACCACATGCTACAACAAATTACACCATCCTCCCCCACAGAGAGCATGCAGGGGCACATGATAGATGAACTTGTCTCAGTTTTTTGAGGTCTGTGAGTTGATGCTCTTACTTTATTATTTCATGACATCACGTAAAAGGTCCTTGGGGTTGTCAATTCCCAGGAAATACTAACAGCAGGAGAAGTTTTGTTTTAATGCACCGTGAAAAGACAGTATATGGTTTGTTACAGGTCATCCATAATCCTGCTACTCCAGATTGTCAAACTTGGTTTCCCTGCTAGGTTGAGGTCTAGACCTGGCACATCCACACATCTGGATCAGTTCTGTGTGAGCCAGGGGAACAGGGTAACCACTCGATTTAAGTGCGTGCATTTTTTTCTTAAACTGGAGGCTGAACTCTATTTCTTTAACTCCAAGCCTGCTGCAGGGAACAGAAGTCTAAATTGCAAACATCTATTATAAATGAAAACCTCCATAAAAATGAAATAAGCTAGATTAATGCCACTCACCAATAATTAATGTAATTCAAGTTTTGAGAAGCTGAAGTTTAGTTTGTAGGTTCCAGCTGTTCGTAGGAGTCTTTCCCCAGAGTTTGTAAAAGAGCAGCAGGATCCATATGAGCATCTCCAAAACACAAGTTGCATATATTTACACATGACACAATAATGGTACCTTTATTGATTACTTTAATTGTAGATCATCTCTGACACTGAGACAGAATCCGTAAGGATCCAATGGCAAGTCCCACTGTGTACCTTTTTTAATATTAGACAGGTGAACCGTCGCACAAAGAGTCATAATTTATCAGCTGCAGTTAAATTATTTTTCACCATTGTCTGATATTGATGTTTTTGTTCTGTTGGCAACGTAATAGTTAGAATATCATCACACATGGACGAAATGTTCAATGTTTAGAAAATCCTAAGTAAACTAGGCTGTTATTTGGGCCGTTTGCTAAGTTTTTTATTAGTTTAGATTTGGTCTTTTGTTGATAGTGAATCAATATGCATTGTACTATCCAATCTTGTGTGTATGACAAATATTGTGTGCACACTGTGATGCTTTCCACCAGTGTCGTAGATACAGATATGACTGAATGGAGCTGCGAGGAACATTAACATCAAAGTGACCTATGTCAGAATGACAAAATGTTGTCACTTTAACAGATCAATGAAATCAGAAAAGTTCCGTGTCACATATCTGAAAAAGACTTTGGAGACAGCTTCAAAGTAAAACACAACTTTATGTGATTTAACTTTTAAAAAGTTCATACAATGTCCATTGACATTCCCTAGTTTTGGAAAATGTGGAAATGAATAAAAAATGTTCAGTTCATTTGTAAGAACTCTGATTTAAACTGCATCAACTAGTGGTCTATTTACAATTGACACAGAGTAACGTTTCTTCATGGTTTGACCTGTTGCTATGCAAGATTTGTTTAACATGACAGGGTTTCTAAATATGACATTTTAGTCTCATTCCTTCCTCTCCAGTTACTAAATGTATAACGTTTGCATTGTTGGAATTCTGAAAATTCCATCTTTAATGTTTAGATACAGGGAAGGTAGGATTCAAAAATATTGTTTATGTTTACTGTGGTTAAACGAAAGCATTTATGAGCTACAAAGGGGATAATGACAATTACAACTAAATGCTGAACTACAGTATCAAATCAACAGTGTACTCCTTCTAAACATACAGTAGTTAAATGTGATGAAAAATGGTGAAAAAGGATTCTGCACCAATCAGTGTTTTAATTAGCTCAAGCTGCAGAGAACTTAGAAGTTCAACGCTCTTTGTGAAATATAGCTATTCAAAGTCACGTCCCTCACTATTTCACAGGCCTTGCCAGGGCAGCCTGAGCCTCAGCCAACTTTTTAGAGTGTGCTTGGGTTTCACTTATTTAGTTTTCCTTAAATGGAACGTGGAATACATTGGCTGGAAGGGACCATTTGTCTCTATATATAAGGAGAACACATGATGTCATCTCTGGTTGACATTAGCAGTCCCAATTTGGTGACAAATTACGGTGAAGTGAATGTTGACAGCACTTTTAGCTTGATAGTGTCAATGTGTTCCTATAAAAATTTATGGGACAATAGCTTGTGCGACTGCCAAAGTGTGACTGTGATGCGGCCCCAAGTTTACCCATTTGAAAGCAATTTAAGATGTATTTAGACACATTTCCCATGAGAGATAAAAGAAGGGATGCGTGACAGAAGAAGAGTTATGACCTTGAAATCCAATAGTGGGGTTGGTCACCATGTGGGGAGATGGAACGGCCTTTGTACTGTTCATACAGACATTTAATAGAAACCTGTGCTAAGATCCTCAACAGGTGGGTTTTCAGGCACATAAATCAGCGGCATACTTGAACAATGGTGAGAAAGAAGTTTAGCAGGGTCCTTGAATGAAACATGAAATCCTAAACCAACCCACTGTAGTACTGTAGGAACACTTTACATTAACAGTCTGCGGGACTCAGCACCCAATCAGCACGCAGCTCAACCACTTGTTTTCACTTTTGAATAGGGGGAAATGATGGATGCTATGTTGTAATGACAGCCTGGAGAATAATTTTTCATATGCGTCACTGTCTACCTCACAGTATTTAAGCAATTGCAGACACGTGTTCAAGCTATGTCTTTGGGGGGGATTAAGCTGTTGAGCGATGACAGATGTCCTTTTAAAAGTCCTGTAGGATTAAGTGAGATAGATCTAATTGAATTAAATGCAGTGTCTAATAGACTAGAGCAGGATCCCTGTAATTGTGACAGATTCTTCACTCCATTTTCCCCGCCTTAATCTCTTCTTCTCTCATCATTTGTTCGTAGGTTCCACAAGGGCATTCAGGCCACCTGGCAGCCTTTCAGCTGTGATTATGGGGGAACAATATGTGACATGGTGTGTGGAGTGTGTTGATGGCACACTTCCAGCTGCACAGGAGTTACTTTCATTCTTTACGTGACTTATCTACATGTTACACTCCATCTCCTGCACCACTCTCCAACTCTCCCTGATTTACTGCCTTTGGCAATCCTACATTTTGGAGGCGTGGTATATCCTGCACATTTATAGTGCCTTTCAGTGTCTGGTGCCTCCCCGTCTAGTTTCATGTCTCTGTCCATGTGTGTGCTTTAAACAGGACACTTGGACTTTGCAACTTTAACATTTCTTTGCCACCAGGTCTGGTTTTTAAACTTAAAATAACATACCTACTCTCAGTCAGTGCTGTTTCCATTTGGTGGCATGTAGAGATTTTTTTTTACACTCAATGCTGTCTACACTCTTATTTTAAGTTCTGATTCAAACATGTACACACTGATACCTGCTTTTGTGGCAGCATTAATCACAAGAATCTGCTGTTCTATACATTTTGTGTACCAGTCAGTGTCCATGTCCATTCCTGAGGGTGGCAGTGTACCAAGTAGACAGAGCAATTACTAAGATTGTGTGTTGTTCAAAGTATCCTGTCAACACTTTTATAGATGTATGTGTTGTAATCATGGTCTTTGGGGAAATGCCATCTTTGTTTTCAGGGGATTTTTTTAGTTGGAGTTCAGTGGTTGGCCATTGGAAAAGAACTGACAGCCAGGATTGCTCTGCTGCACTATATCAATATCTGTCATTACCTCCCTGGGATCTCCCATGCTATGACCATCCCTTGACATTTGATTAAGGATGGTTTTCATACAGGGTGTATGGTGGATCACCTTAGCTATGCATTATAGGAGTAAGGTATCTGGATACAATGACGATGACTGAGGGGGGACTTCACCATCAGTCAGGCTGTGAAATATCATTAATTTGGTTGTTGTGTTTACTGGTAAGTGTTGTATGTCTACTTATGGTTTTAAACTAACTTATTTACAACTGACTGAACTGTGAGGCAGACCTGAAAGAATTTTCACACTGACTTTCCTCTACTACGGCACACAAACATTGTACTCTTTCAGACACCACACACACAGAAAGCTTCCTAAAGGCCTAACAGTTGTGCTCTAATCTGGCCCTGCACTTTGCCATGGCCTGAGGAACTTTGACCATTTATATATCTCGTACACAAGAATGAATCATTTAAAGTTACTCGAGACCCAAGTATCGCCCACTGAGAACCCAGTGTTGAGGTTATGTCACGTTCCACCTCCAGCAGTTTAAATATATTTCACTGCGATTCCTGGTTAGTCATCACATATCAGCAATCCTCACTATCTTCATTTTTCAAGACAGTTGCTGGAATGCATTTCTCTTGTTAGAGTTTTAATAATTTAATCTGTTTTTAAGAAAAAATGTCTAGCTCATCCAAACTAAGGATTCAAGTTTTCTTTGCCTTATCTAATAGCAAATTAAATAACTTTGAGTTTTATACTATGACTGAGCAAAAAAAAAAAGTAATTTGAAGACACCCCTTGGACATTAAGAAATTATGATGGACATTTCTTACTATTTTCTGATTGTATGCTGATTATCAGTACTAAAAAATGTTAGCGCTGTGCCCTGTTCAACACTATAACATTATGACTACACTATGAGCAACCATCACCTTTAAATATGATTGGATTGGTTCACATAAACCATTTATAATAAAAGTTTCAACACAATATTTTATTCTTCCAAGGAATTATGTTTAATGTTTTTGTTAAGATTTTTTTTTTTTTAACATTCAGGACAAAAGTAAATTATAAGAGTGTCTGTGCACTTGATCCATGAACATCAGTATATGCAGAGCCTGTTTTTATTAACACTGAAAAGTAGATTTGCATGCATAACGTCTTTTCCTCTGATGTTTTTCCTTTACTTGGTTCTTCTATTTATGTGATGGGGATTCCAATCCGCAGAAGCACATTTCTCATTTTCATAATCCAATTTATTTGTCTTTGATCACCCTTTTGCTACTCATTTAAGAGCGGAAACTTCTCTGCAGTATAGACACGTACAATCTCTGGAGGGCCAGCCCTGCAGTGCCTATTGTTTCCCTACAGTATGTACTTTACGTACCTCTATATTTACACCGTGTCTTCTGGTCCTCTGCCCTTGATTCTTGTTTTTTTTTTTTTTTCACCTTGCAACTCAAACACGCTCTTCCTAAAAATTGGTCTCAACAAGAATTTTGGATTAGACTTCTCTAATCAAAGGATTAGTCCTCTAACCACTGTGTCTTTCTGTTGCAGTGTGATTGTGTGGGTGTGAAATATGAATAGGGGTGATTAGTTTGTTGGCGGGCTGAACTCAAAATGATCAGTGTTGTGTAGCGTGCAGCCAGTGGCCATCTGATGCCCTGCTATGCTGAAAAGTCCCCTGAGTGTCAGCAGACCCAAAAGGCTGAGCACATGGGCTCGGGCACAGAGATTATGTCTCCTTGAGACTCGCCCAGATTCTCCACTCTCACGACTCTCTTATCAGGGAAGGGCACTTCAGCTGTCTTGTAGTAGAATAGAAAGCAATTGGGCAACACAAATGGGACATTGACTAGACTAGCGAGTGTTCTCTTGCCTCTTCCTTCTCTTAGCACAATGCCTGAGTTTTCAGGCAAATGTAGGCAAAGTACTTTTGGCTCGCCGACCTTCTTCAAGTTTCACAAGGCAACAAATTATGTGCACTCAGCATATCAAGACTGACTTACAAGGAGTGTTTTTGTGTGTATTTGTGTGTACTTTGCAGGCTTGTGGAGGCAGGAAGCGGCAGTGTTCAGAGCTTGTCCTTGTCTGACAGTCACCTGGCGGAGCTGGATGGAGACACCTTGCGTTTATTCGGACTCGGAGCCCTGGAGGCCCTGGAGAGGGGCTGGGGTGTTCAGACCGCTGGTGCTGTCACTGTAATAACCTTCCGCTACATCAACTTTGACGCCATTGTACCAACACTGCCGCGAATAAGGGTCAAGTTCCCAAATCTGTCGGTAAGTCCATATACCTTAATGGGCCTTGCAGTGTTGACATAAATTCCTCAAGGGGAAAAAATAAAAAAAATAGCGTGCATTTTTAATTTAAGCTACACATGTGGTTGAAGCAAATGCTGAATGTCATTTTAACACCAAACTGCAATGACAAGTTTCAACAAAGTAATATTAATTAAATAAGAAATATAAATGCAAAATAAGTCATTTCCATTTTAACTATTCACCCCCTTTAAAGTAACTCACCTAATTCAACACAGGTTCAGCCAACTGGTGCTAGAAGTCTGTGTGACTTCCTCTGACTTCTGACTTCTTCTAAATTAGTGAAATGGAGATAATCTTAGTGCAGTAAATGTATCTCAATTGACTGTACTATAAAGACACCTGTATCTGGAAGATCCAGTCACTGGTAAATTCGTACTCCTGGCTATAACTATACCATGAAGACAAAAGAACACTCCTAGAAACTCTGTTCAACGGTTATTGAGAAGCATAACTTAAGGGATGGATACAACAAAATTCCAAAGTCACCGAATATCCTTCGGAGTACAGTTAAATCCATCATTAAGAAATAGAAGGATATGGCACATGTGTAAATCTGCCTAGAGCAGGCCATCTTAAAAAACTTAGTGACTGTGCAAGAAAGAGACTAGTCAGCAAGGCCACCAAGACACCTATGACTCCTCTGAAGGATTGAAAAACTTACTCAGCTGTGATGGGAGAGACTGTGCACACAGCAACTGCCATCTGTTCTTGACCAGTCTAAGCTTTATTGGAGAGTGGCAAAGAGAAAGTCACTGTTGAAAAAAAAAAAAAAAAATGTTTTCAGCTCATGTTGAATCTTGACGAGAGTTGACCAGAAGAGACTCTGAAATCAACTGGAAGAAGATTTCATTACAAATGCACCATTCCTCCTGTGAAGCATGGTGGTGGTAGCACCATGATGTGGGGATGCTGCTCAGCAGCAGGCCCTGGAAGGCTTGTAAAGGTAGAGGGTATGCAACAAGGTACAGGTAGAATCTTGAGTGTCGACCTAATGCAGCCTGCAATAGAACTGCGATGTGGGGAAGATTTATCTTCCAGCAGAACAATGATCTAAAGCATACAGCCAAAGCTTCACAGAAATGGTTCAAAGACAACAAGGTGAATGTTGTGGAGTGGTCAGAATTTGTAACTGGATTTGACAGGGGCCGCTCAGTGTGCAACTTCACAGAGCATGAGCAACTTTGTAAGAAAGAAATGGGTAAATTGCAATGTCTGGCTGGGCAAGGCTTACTGAAAGCTATCCACACAAGCGTGAGTTAAATTGCAGCCAAAGGGGCATCTACTAAATACTGACTTAAAGGGGGTTAATACTTACGAATTCACTTATTTTGCATTTTATATTTTTAATCTGATTGCATTAGTTTGTAGAAATCTGTTTTTGCTTTGACTAAATTGATTAAAAATCCTTTTTTGGTAAATTCTTGTTATAAAGGACAAATTAAATTAAATTTACTAGAACTAGAGCACGGCATAACCGAAATTACACTTTTCCAACAAATCTAACATCATCTGAACCTGACAGATAATTATAAGTGCCGGATATTCAGTTGCAACTCTGAACCTCCTGCACAAAAACACCAATTTCCTTTGGCATTTTACTTTCCCAACCTAATTTGGCATCATTACAAAGTTGTCGTAAAGAGAGCACTGACACCAGAGAGTTGGTTTAGTAGTCAGTGGTTAGGATGAGGAGTGGGGCTAGGGCCTGAAGGATCTGAAATATGTATCTCCTCTAATTTGGCTGCACTCAAAGCAGCCTCAGAGGTGTTCCTGCTCCTGGGCATAAAATGTACTGATGTGCACAGAGGCAGGGCTAATCAGGAGAGATGTGGTTCTGTAGGCAGAGTGTTTTCTTGCTCCATGCAGAGAAACCAAGAGCAAGGGCAGTGCAAACAAAGAAAATCAGATGAATGAAAAATGTTGCTTATGTATCATATAATTTAGTGATTTTTTTTTTTATTCAAAGCTTCTTGCAGTTTTTCTAAAGCTTATTTGTCCAAGAGAAGCATGATCCCCTCTGATCCCCCACAAGTCCTTGCCATAATCAATTAAGCTAGTTACAGGCGTAATAATACTGTATATCCAGTTAAAGTTCTGCCTGAGACCAACCTATTACTTTTTCTGTAGCACCTGATCTTCCTGGAAACCAACATCAGCCGCCTGCCACAGCTGGCGGCCCTGGCTCAGGTGAGGCGTCTGGACCAGCTGACCATCCACCCAGAAGGCAACCCAGTGGTCAGTCTGACTCTGTGGCGCTCCTTTGTCATCTACCGCCTCTACCACTTCAACCTGCAGCGGATCAATGGCCAGGAGGTGAGAAGCAGCTCATGTTTTGATGCAGACCTCTTGCTGTATGTACTGTAGGTGGTCAGTTGTTTTGCCTTTGTTGCCCATAAATGTTTTGACAAATTTTGCGTATAATTCTGTGGTATCAAATATATTATTTCTTACATACAAGAAAACAGAATTAGTTTTTTGTACTATATTCAAAATAAAATATTGTAAATGTGCAAATTTAAAGCTGAAAAAGAATATTATGAATTTTAATGCTAACTTGCACGCTGGAAGAAATTTCATGACAAGATTGATACCTCACTTGAAACTATTAACTATAAGGCTATAGCAGCAGGTTAGCTTATCACAGAGACTGGAAGCAGGGAAAAAGCTATACAATTAAAAAAAAAATCCTTCTATTGGCACCTCTGAGGATCAAAAAATGTACATGTTATATCTTGTTTTCTTTAGTCTGTGTGGTCAACGGTCAAGAAAAAATCTGACACAAACCTCCCACTTAAAACAGCAAATTGTTGTTTTCACACTCCTGTCTTTGTTTGGAAAAAACAAATAAGACCAAAAGTGTGCATAGCTGTGCTGGTAGCTGGATTTTGTTAGCAACACATAGAATCAGGTGAGATGTTCCCATTTTCTTGCCAAGCTAACTGGTGGCTTTAGTTTCACATTTATTAAACTGATGATTTTCTCATCTGATGTTTCCAGCAAAAACTGAAGAAGTGTACTTCTTAAATTTCCAAACTATTCCTTTACTGTTGTTAGTCTTAAATGATAGATGTGTGTTTCCTGGAATGTCCTACCTGAGGATATTGCCTCTACATTCTCTTAGACTTCATTTGATAAATGATCTGTACATCAGTTTACACCTGCTGCTTGTTTTCATTGTGTCAGCTGCCGTTCTTGTCTCATCCAACTTGTATCCGGTATATGTGCGTCAAAACTGTACAACCTTGTGCAAAGATGCAAGTCTTGCTTGTGTGTTTACACAGGGAGAGGCCAATCACTTAAGTATCTTGTGCTGTGTGTATGTTAATGCATGTTTGTGTTTCGACCTTAGGTGACCATGAATGATGTGATTGCTGCAGAGCGTGTGTTTGGAACGCTGGGTCACATAGCAGCAACTGAAACTCCTCGTTGCCGTCTCCTCCTGCTGCTGGAGGAGTCCAGGTGAGAATCTGATCTCAGACACTTTATCACAACATCACTTTAACTCCACTTTAACGACAGGTGTGTGTGTGCTGTGTCTCGGACCATGTATTCTGTTTGTTTAAATATGTCAAGAATGTGTGGATTCTTCAACATAAATATGCGAAATACAGCTTCTGAGTGTGTAGGCTTCTGCACTTGTGTGTGCATGCCTGCGCATAGAGTTTTCTGTGTATACATTTGTGTGTGTGTGTGTGTAGGTGTGTGTGTGTGTGTGTGTGTGTATGCCTGCAGGTTTGTGTGAAACAGTGAGACAGAGCCTGGCACCAAGGAGCCAGGGGAATTAGACTATGTGTCTGAGGGTAAGGGTGGGTACTTGGCAGTTCGACACAAACATTCCTCTCTCTCCCCAGCCAAAAAACTCTTGAGGTCTGTCACTCTGGGTCAATGAAAAACATCCTTGCAAAGCAAAAAATCTCCTGAACTTGTCACGCACAAGAATATTTCTAAAGAGCTTCTTACTTAAGGGCAAAAACGAAGTAATGACAGGCAAAAAGCAAAGCTGCAACCTGTATTACTATTCTTTGTGGGAAACTGTCAGGTTGAATCATCTGACCTTACACTGTTGCTAACATTCAATTTGTATTGCTATCACCACAATTAAGGAAATAAGTTTCCCTCGTAGAGACATCCATTTTTTTCTGTAAGTCGAAGACAGTGATGGTAATGTGCATAAGTGAATGTAGGTTTTGGTGGTGCAGAATCAGCAAATGCATCTTTCATAAAAAAAAAAAAAACAAGCAAAATCCTTAAAATGCTGCTGAGGAGTAAAGCAGTGCTACATGTGAGCCTAGTAATGAATTTAGGTTGCCTCTGTGTCCTCAGTTGCACTTTCAGAATCGTGCTGAAAATAAACTCGTAAACTTTAGAACATTGGCTCTCTGCTGCATCTCACTCCTGATTCATACACGTCCTGTTATGGAGCGATAATACACAACAGCCCAAGGCCAAAGATTATTTTCATATCAGCACTGAAGTCCTAATAACTGTTATCTGCATGCAGAATCTTCACCCCTTTAGTCAGTTGTGTCTGTTTGTTACAGCAGAAGATGCTGTTAGACTTCTTATTTTTGAAACCCTTACTGCTGTAGACTGTATTTCATGTATAAAGTTAAATACTTAGCACTGAAAAATGGCCTTGAAAACTTTTTGGGTTCATCTTCCCACAGTGTTTTTTTTTGTTTGCTCTTGTGTTGTTGAGGGGATTGTGGGGTTGACATGAAACACTACTGAGGTGTCATTTTTCCTGCAGGGGTCAGAGAGTAGAGTAAGGCCATAATATTCCCAGGGTTTGAGGATTCTGATACTGTAAGATGTCCTGGTTGTTATGTTTCTTACGGCTGCAATTTGACCCTTTGCTTGGCTAAAAATGTGTCACAGGCATCCCTTAACATAACCTTTGGAACGCTTATGATCTTGTTACATTAAATTCTTTCTAATTTTTGTTTGGCATTGTTCACTGTGTCTTGCAATATAAGGAACACTAACAGAACTGCCCGGACACTGTAAACGCCACACATGTAGCATCTCACTTTGGATAAAGTGAATCTAAACTATTCAGTCTGATCCACATGTGATGCTGTTCATGTTGCATGTAACTACTAACAGGATTTTAGTTTGCATTTTGCTATGGACACAGTCGCCTCTAAAACTGAGCTTTAGGCCAATTAATGTTGCTAAACTAATCTGGTTAATTTCCAAATTCCATGCAAAATCCTACATGAGATAGCTGCCACCAATCAAGCTGAATTTATTTATTTTTTATTTTTTATGAAGTGTAGTAAAATCCTCCCTCATTCCCTTGCTTTACGTCCATCTCATCTAGCATAGATGTACAATACGCAGCCACTATGCTACCAGCAAGTGCATTCTGATTCATCACAACATGAGGCTGCATGAGTAGGATGATGTAGTTTGTGATTCTTTTGCTTCATCAGCTGTTTATTTACAATTTGACAATGTTGACAAGTTGTGGGAGAGAGAAAGGCCGAAAGCATTTTAACTTTTTAAAAATGTTTTTATTGGAAAATGTTTATTAGGTTGGCACACATGCAATGGCTGTTGAGACCTTCTGATTTCAGCCTCAGCTGATCTCTTGACCTTTTTCCCCTGGAGACGACTTCTCTTCTACTTTACAGATTTGATCTCAAACGGTCTTTTTCAAAAGAAAGCTGTTTTCTTGTGAAACTGAATTGACCTGCTGTGATGCATAATGCTGTTGCTGCATAAAAATCTTGAATCTTGCAAAATGAAACTTTACTGCAGGACCTTTAGGCAGATGCTCATCTGCTCTGTGTTTGCAAAACTCAAATCAAAGTGTCATGTTGACTTTTGGACAAAGAAACATTTTCACTCAGCTGGATTTTGCTCATCATAACTACTGTTTTTTTCAAAGAAGTTTTATACACAAATACATTTAATTAATAGAGTTTCTTAAATGAATACACTTCTTTTCTGATGCTGATGTGATTGTCACTGACAGGTTCAAGTATTGCACCAAAATAAACCTGCTCCACACAGCAAACCACACACACACACACACAAGTCTGGCTTCCTTAAGCTTGTCTTACCTTGTTAGCCAGCGTGATGTACGACTGATGCAGTTTGGCATACACACCCACACACACACACACACACACACACGCTGTACAAACTACACAGCTGTCTTATCTCATATGGAATGTTTGCCTCCAGCCTGCTCTGAAAAGACTATTTCAGCATCCTGGCACTGGCCTGTGGAACATGTTGGTGCAGTTGTGTATCACATGAGATTTTTTACTAATGAACAGCAACATTTGACATAATTTACATCACTTTTAAAATCCTCTACTGCTTTGTACACACCCTGCTGCTGTGTGGTAAGAATGAAATTAAAACACTGTCATCTCATAAATTATGGTGTTTTGCAAAGTATTTAATCCTGACTAAGCTGTATCTGCTGTCAGTTCTAACTGATTTTACAAGGAGGGCCATTTTTCTTGTTTCTCAAAAAATGAGATGGATGCTCTATTTGATGGACGTATGACTATACTTTCATTACTTTGTGTGTTACTCACTTGTGGCCACTGTTTCTCCCCAGGTGTCTGCATGTTTCTTCACTCACTCATCTCTCTTTTCCTTCTTCAACCTGAAGGAAGCGGCAGCTGCAATTCCTGCTGGAAGGGCGTGGCCGGAGGGCAGGACTGAGTCCAGAGGAGCTGCGAGATAATGGGAAGCTTCTGGGTGAAGGCCTGAGCAGAGCGTTGTTCAACTACCCAAGCAGAGACTGTAGTGCAGAGAGCCCTGAGGTTAGTTCTGGTTTATTCACAGTAGTTTCACAACACCACAATGATTTGAGAAAAATGCGTCAGTCTGAGTTTGATTGCTTCATGAGCCATGCATTAACTGTCTACTAATAGCCAGCAAGACCTTGTGGAGTTGCACAGTAGCACCCACTGTGCTTCAACCTTTTTATTGTATAGCTTTCACATAGAAGCTGGAATCTGGTGTTAAAAGACGACTTAAAGAACACATGTGGCGACTTGAAAAGGAACCATGTTCTGGTGTCATTAATTCCATTAACACATTGCTGCACCATTCAAAACCAATCCCATAACAATAAGAAATGTAAGTGTGTGACAGCAGGTCTTAGAGCCGTTAGCATGTTGGCAGCTGTCATCACAAAGGTTGGACAGAATTCACCATGGTAACACTGCCTATTATTCCACTTTCAACTATACTGTGATTTCTAGTGACATTTTCCTAAGAACTATTGCACAAAATACATTGTACTGCTGTTTTATGAGTACAAATCACTTGCTTATTATCTGCAAGGCTCAAGAAGACAGAACTCTGCTATGTCCTTTGCAAAACTGAAGTAGGAGATCTTCAAAACGTGTCATGAAATCAATCCCACTAGTTTTACAAGAAACTGTATTGGCTGACATGACATGTACTGTAAAGTCCACATTACATCCAGAAGATTTAACAGGGATTTCTGGGATCTTAAAACCACTTTCCTCAACCAACTACAGCTTACAGGACTACACTTGAGCTTACTCTTAGTCTGGAATATTACCTAAATCTTTACTCCTTACTCACTCTTAAATTCCACAATAACAAATAAATGGGATTTGGGATAACAGCCCACTCAGCAGCTCAGAAGCTCACTTCTATAGCTTCTATAGCCTCTTCGGTTTTTTCTCTGCAGAAAGCTGGTGGGAGCACTAATGCAGTTTCATCCTGTTTTATTTAGGCACAAACTAGAGTCCATTTACTGAGGATGGAGGAGTGCATCTGACATGTTTGTGCAGATCCGGCGCCAGCATCTGTTTTGGCTTTACGTTTGCTTTTGTGCCCCTGTTCAGGCCACCTACATACACGACTACACGACTACATAACATTACAGATGTTATGTTAATCCTTAAATAAAAACCAACACCAGCATTGAATTTATACTATGACCAGGTAGTGTCCTTGTTATAGAAGCTTGTTGTAGCTTCTACCGTATCATGGTATGTATGCAACCTCTGTTGCCCCAATGCAGAATGCGCAAAAAGAAGCCCAAAGTTAGAGGTAAAGGCTTAAAAGAGTCATTGGATTAGTTAACATCTATGCTCATTAGTCTACTACACATAAATCATTGAACAGACATGGTGTTGATGGTGGGACACCACAGAGGAATCTGCTGCTCTCCATCAAAAAAAATCACTGCAGATTTAATGATTTCCACTCCATCATGCACCACCAACAGAAAAGTGTGTGTAGACTCAAACCATGAAGGGCAAAATGAATTCACAGTTTTATCACAAGAAGTATCACAAGATAATGTCCGTAGAAGTCTGCCGCAGTTCATTGTCTCCAAGCGAAAACAACTAACAGAATCACTTCTCTTTTGGAGTTGCCCAGTCAGATCCCAGACACATAACCCAACAAAGATGCTGTAGAAAAGCTTCAAGAGAGCTGTTCACTCCAGAAACACCTAAAATGTGTCTGAGCTGAGGCAGTTTTAAGGAAGAATGGTTCGAAATTTCCTCCTGAACTTTTTCTTCTGACCAGTTGTTAAACCCAAGGATTTACTCCCGTGAATATTTAAACGGTGCATTTCATAAAGACACAACGGATTCTGATTATTTGTGTGTTACTGGCTGAAGGGCATTGTGTCTGTCTATACTTGTGACTCGATTAAGATGACTCAGAACACCAGTTGATTCCAAATATTTCACATCATTTTTCTTGCTGCTATAAAAGTAAAATGAAATCAGCATGAACAATATTCTCTGTTTGTCCTCACAGGAGGGCACTGTGGAGTCGTCGGAGCGTGCTGCCATGATAGAGCAGTACCTCCAGGAGCTGGTTCAAAGAGCATCAGATACCAATCTGAAGGGCGAGGCTTTACACAAGCTCTGGCCCTCCATGTTTGCAGAGATGGTAAGAGACTGTGTTTTGGAAATGAGGGACCGAGCGGCCTTCCGCCAAACCAGCCTGGCGAAGCTCTCTGAAACCAAGTGAAAAGGACCAAAGGTTCACTCCTAAACCACACAAACACTGCACATGTGGACATAACTTTCCTGGGCACCTAGTTTCTCTCATTTCAAACTCCATCTATAACACATCACTACTTAGGGATTTTGTCTGTTTTAATGTCTTCGGAAACTAAAGGGCGTGTTTCCCCAGTCTGTCGGAAGCTCTTTCTTGAGTTGGATGTAGACTATTTTAAAGATGTCTGAAGAAATTGTCATGACAAAGGCATCTTGACTGAATGTAGATTTTCACTGTTTGATTCTTCAGAGTTTGGAGCTGTATCATACTTGAAGAAAGTTAAAGGAACTTGCTGACTCGCAGTGCATTGTGGTCCCTACGGAGCATCCTCTGCACTTTAAAAGCCTTCTGAATGACCCCTCTGCACCATCACTGTCATCAGCTGAAAATGATCAGTGTCTCTTTTCTTGAGACTAGAATGATTTTTCTGTCTTAAAACTTGTGTCATGCATCGCTCTCTCTCACTTCTTCCTGCCTGACAAAAAAAGCAAGGGCACAAACAAGGACAAGGTCTTTTCTTTGTTTACCACTGATTTTCTGTATTGTACTTAGTATTAAAAGATTCTGCATTAACACTGAGTTTGTGTACATAGTTTTCATGGTTCTTTTCCCTAGAAGTCAGGTCTTCCAGGCAACCAATCAGATCAGTTTTATTTTAGCAGAAGAAAGTATTTGTTTTAGACTTCTGACAGTCACTTTGAGAGACAGCATTACCAACACCTCACACGCCACTAGTGTTCCATTAGATAGACACTGTGTGTACGTGCTCGGAGGTCACAAAACTATCAGCCGTCCTCTAGGTTGTGTGAATTAAGACTGGAATGCCCCTGAAGGTGTAGAAGCTTCACCAGTTTCCCACCACCTGCTCCTGCTCCTCTCACTAAAACCAACCCATAACAAAAAAATTTAACCCTTGTTTAATCAGACGTGTCAGCAGAGAACACAGCACCGACCTGGGGGAGTATCTGCAGGGTGGATGGAGTGTCAAACAGCTCCAGGAACACCCATCAAGGAGCTGACGGGTACTGCTGTCCTCTGTCATCCGCCCCAGTGGAGATCAATGCCTTGCTCATGGGTGTTTCACTTAAAGGAGACAAAACATCAGGTTGGATGTTAATGAGTTTTTCTCTTCTCAGTGGTGGGTGGTTGGTTTTAGTTTTTTTCTGTGAATGTTGATGTCAATCATGTAGGTGGTCCACCGTTTCCAGAGAGCTGAATCCAAACCCCATTTTTAACCCTGTATTGGGCAAGGAACCATATGGTAACTTCTGCAGGCTTTAAAAAGGGCAAGGGGGCAGAATGACGTGACTTCAATCAACGAAGGTCAGGCTACATCACAACACAGTCACTGTGGCCTCTGGCCAATCATGAGTGAGCCAAAGTGATATTTAGACATGAGTGTCGTAAGTTCTCTACCTTTGACTGGTGATTTGGAAGAAAATATTCCTTCATCTTTATTTGTGTTTTATTTTTCTTTCTTTATTTTTTTTACAATAATTTATCCACATATTATTTTGATTTTTTTTTTTTTTTTTTTTAACCTTTTTAACCATATGTGGTGAGGAATCATATACAGTTACTGCTTTGACTTTGATTTGCAACCTAATTTGATTTTTTTTTTTTTAAAAACCAAAAAAGGAAAAATGTCCTCTTATATCCACCAATAACACTCCAGGGTTAAACATTTTAAATACCCAAGTATTTCAATGAGTTAAGGCTTAATTGGTTCACTACTTTGTCCAGAAATATAAACATCTGCATTTTTTCATTTTTTGATTAGTAATGTGAGTGCTTCATTATATCTGCTTTCCTCCTACATTTTTGCCTTAACATTTCTGGTTAATCCGAACACAAATATGTAAACATGTTGTATAGGGTTATGACAGGGTAACGTGTAGGTTTTTGGGCACCACCTGTCCCCTGACTGTCTCATATGAAAGCCTTGTGTTGTGCTTTGACAGGAAGCCACTCGGTGCAAATGTCTGCCATCAGAAAGCTGCAGCTTGTTTGTTTCGATCAACTCTGATAAACAACATTTCTTTGTGCTGACACATTTTGTCAGTTTATGGGAGTACAGCTGTCAACAATGTGAGAGAAGTCTAGTCCCAAAGGACTAAAGAACTCCAGGACTAGTGACAGCATGCAGACACAGAGACAGAAAGAGAGAACAGTGTCTGATCACTGGAAAGCAGTTTAGAAGTCCAGACAGTGCAGCACTTCCTGCTACTCCTCCAGTTAAGGCGGCTCAACACATTAACATGAAGGCCATATGTGCTGGTGAGTAATAACCTACAATCATCTGCTGCTCACATTAAAATTACCATTTGTTTATCAAAATACCATTTGTGTTAAACTGCAGTTCATGAAAAAATATATGGAATTAATATAGTGTAGTATTTATACCAGGCATACATTAGTGTATATCAACCTTAATCAATGCTGATATTTTCATCTGTTGCTAGATTTTTGTTTTCTGAACTATGGCCAGAGAAGTATAATCACCATCCGTCTCCAGCTGAGTGAGGGTCCTCCATTTTTGTTTTCTCAAGCGTTAAAGCTGAAGTAGGCAGTTTTTTGTTGTTTTTTTGGTCTCATAGGGCAAAACTTCCATCCTAACCTTCCAGCTTATTATAAATCAAGTGATCTGAGAGGAAACTAGACTTCAGCACCTATTCTTGGCTCAGCTTTCAGGCTCTACAAAATCTAACCGGCGAGAGGAGACTTCAGCTAATGACAGAACGTCTCACCAAGATCACGTATGAGAGTGTACAGAGCAGCAAAGTCCACAGTGTGGACAGGATGTGGTGGCATTGGGACAAAGAGAGGACTCTCAGAGTAGGAGGATCTGAAGGAGGAGGGCTGCATTTTAGGTATAACATTTACTTTTTTTCATAATTTTTCAAGTAAAGTGGTTTCATAGTAGGGATGTGAGACACCAAGGAGGGGTTGCAAAATGATTTTCAAAAATCTAATAGAATCATAAAAATGATCAGAAATAGCATATTTTAGTCAGGATTGTTAGAAAAAATAAAAAATAGTAGGAAAAAAAATAAAAATGAAAAAATAGCTACATTTAAAAACAAACCATGCAAATACAGTTAAACTAAAAAGGGGCTTACTTTGCTCCAAGCACAGAGCTCTTCCAACTCTAGATGACTTCATGTTTAATTGAAAGTAGTGAGTAAAAATTCTGAAAATGTAAAGTTTGCACAAGACAATAACAACGTAGGAGTCAGCTGGTTGTTACACACACAGACATCAGCACCGAGTCTGCTGCTCCTACACACTATTTACTCAGTGCTCCAGTTTATACGTGGAGGTTACTTTGACTCATGTATTCTGCTACTAGCCTATATTAAATAACTATAAAATAATGTGAAGGTTGTTAGGTTGTTGTGTTCTTTTCTGTTGTTGTTGTCTGTGTTTGGACAGGCACAACTGGAACACTCAGTTCATCTGGTTATATAATGATAACCGTTAATAGAAACTGACACTCATAACCCAAAGCAGCGAGTGAGTGTAATACCAGTTATTACTGCCTGCATCATCAAAACTGCTGTTATCTAAACTGAACTCCTGGATCACAGCTCACAGTAAATCAAAGCAGTGTTTTTTTTCTGTCACAACAGCACCACGGATGGTGTTGGCTGCCGATGCACAGCAAACACTGGCCAAGAAGAGCTCAGGTAATGAAAACAGGGCGCGAACATCTCTGCAAGACTGTGAGGAAGCTCTCGTTGTCAGGATGCACGTAATATTCACAAGGTGTCATTGTTACATGTTTGTTGGACCCACTTTCTCTTTGTCTGCTTTGTGTAGCTCCATTGCTGTTAGCAAGCATTTCCCAAAATACTTTCTGATAACTTCCAGGCTACGTGCCTGGACTCTGCAAGTTTCCAGGTTTTCTGTGTAATGGCGTACTGCTGTAATCATAATTCTGGACATACAGAAGAAAGTACAATGAGAAGGAGTGAGTGAAGGGCGAGCATCACTCTGCTAGTATGGACTTGTTTGTTAAGGTCATGCAATATTATCTCCATAATCTGTGTTTGGGTGAATGACAAGCAATAAACCGAAGCGCCGGTTGGGAGGCTGCAGCGTTGATGGCTCGGCCCTCTGATAGACTTTTGTGTAGTCGGGACGCAAGGCTGCCAATTCGTTCCACCCCACAGGACCAACTATTAGTTTCTCCTGGAATGAAACAAGTGTATTGTTTATTGTGAGCCATGCACTGCAAAAAATCATCACCTCTAACAGTGATTTCACTTGTCAGTTAAATAATCCCAAATGTTGGAGTTATAGTGAATCAAAATACAACATCTTAGTTGCTGGTATTTTTTCAAACAAATATACCTTGACTGCAATTTAAGTTATATTAACCCTTTTGCATATTTTTACAAATGCCAAAATGAGTAACAATATAGGACACAATAGTATATCTTACCATGTTTATCTACCCTTCAGATGGCTATTTTTTCCAGTGTAGTGTGTATGCAGAAGCAAGTCACTGCACATTTTCATCCAGTGTCAGATAGCAGCGACTGTATCTCATCTAGTGAGGCCTTCAATGGGTCATCCGGAACAGTGGAGTCATTAACGATGCTTTAATTAGAAGCTTGTCTGCCTGTGAAAGGTTTGGAAACACTGGGGTTAAAGGCAAATTCCTGAGCAGTATCAGCATCTACGCACCAGTGAGGAAGGTCAGAGAGGGCAGCAACAGGAGCAGCCACCCTGCAGATACATACTGTACACACACACACACTGTATATACTTACACATAGAGCAGCGCTACATGGATCTGTAGATACAGACTTCTGCTTCTTATATTCACAGACTTACCGTCACAATATTTGCAGATTACTTTGGCTTTACATTATAATGCTGCTATTGTCAAACCAGCATGTTTACAGACAATGGCTATAATGAGCTACTGTGGTATAAACCGCTGAACTATGCATAACTCTGCTTTGTTTTGTCAAAGTAAACAGGCTGAGGAGAACAATACACCCAGCTTTTAGTTTATAAATATAAAAACAGTGAACGTCAGAGGATTCAGCCAGGAGCAAAATGTCACTAAACTCCACGACTAAAGGGTTCATATACAGGCGTGCAAAACTTTGTGACCATCCTCATTTATTAAGAAACTGTTGCAAAAGCCACATCCCTTTTGAATTTTTTTAAAAACAGGTTTTATTTAACATTTTTATATACCTGCTTTCTATACCTGCTTTTTTTATCTGCTTTTTATTCAACTTGTTTGTTTCTGTTTTTATCTTGTGCCCTGTAAAGTGACTTTGAGTGTCTTGAAAAGCGCTATACAAATAAAATGTATTAAATTATTATCATTGTTATTAATAATAATCCAAATTTGCTTTTACACTACGTCATGACTGAATCCAAGTCAAATGACTCCTCATTATGACGTCTGACACCAACAGAACAACACAAGAATTATTAGTTAACTGAATGAAAAATTAACTGATATTTAGTAATTGCTGTTATGATTCTCAGTCATGTAGATTATATGTAACAAAAACTATCGATATCACTATAAATCTGTTTG